GGACATCAGATAGTACTGTTATAGGTGCATTTATGTTTTTAGCATGTAAGTATAACCACAGTGTGACTCCTGCAGTGTTCATTATAGTCGCAACAGTGCTGGAGTGAAACATGCTTCCTGAAGGGGACACAGCAGAAAAGGTCATGGGGTCACTAGAGACGAGACAAAAGCCAAGCAGGTTCAGCATCTACTTGTACCTGTCTGAACTCCGTGGTTGTCCTGAAAAGTGGCTCTTTGGTTTCTTTTCCTGCTTGCTTTAACACACAGGTGACTAAATCAGTTGTCAGGTTTTGCACTTCAAAAGTCTGAGCGGCTGTTTCTCTCTCTCTATGTGTGTGTGTGTGTGTGTGTGTGTGTGTGTGTGTGTGTGTGTGTGTGTGCTGACTGCTGCTCTGTTTCATCCATCTTTTAAAGGTCTGCTTTGTCTGGTGTCAAACATTTAATCTTGTTGACGCTGACACAATATTGTGGATCCCTGAAGTGGCCTGTGGCTGCTGGACGGGACATGGAGACTGCACTGGTTGTTATTTACTCCTCCAAAGTGCAGCTCTCTGCTGTGCATATACAGACGTGGTCAAAAGTGTTGGTGGCCCTCTGTCCCATTGAAACAACGCTCCGTTCCTCCTGGAAAGGCTTCATATTCAAGCTGTTTCCATCAGGTTTGCTGTTAATCTGTGGACATCTCTGGGAGAGCCTCAAGTTGAAACCCACTGTCTGTTGTATCCCGCTTTCCCACTAAAAGTACCATGTATACATGTGGCTAAACCGGCATTTAACTGGCTTATACCAGCTTTCCCACTGCCGACCGACCTGGCTCGGCTGTCCGACAGACGACCTTGTTTCCCCCTTTGACATGTCATATTTGGCGTCATCACGTTGGAGATGTTAAATATCTGTGCCAGTCAACAGAGATGTAAACAAAGCAGCATGGAAGCGAGTGAGACGGTCAGCGTTGGTTCTTCATATTTACTTTTGTTCATCTTCCAAAGTACAGAAATTCAGTGTAGACTGAGCCGTGTTAGAGCATTGATCGAACAGAGACGGATGGAATTTATTGCTGATTAGGCTGATGATGATGCACGCGTCATTGCATGCGTTCACAGGTTTAGCTGAGTTTGGTTTTCCCATTGGTTCTGTTCCAAGGCAAAGTGGATAATGACCCGTGTTGATTGCACAGTGATTTGTCCCACTGCCATCAAAAGCTGAAGTGTGGTGCGTTTACACGGACCTTTTGGGCAGCGGGAAAGGGGCTGTAGAAACATCTACACCTGCTTTGGTGATGTAGGTTCCTGTACAATTACTCTGACTGATTTGACGTAGGATAAGTTAAATAATTGAAATTCTTCTCAGCACAGCCCGGTCACCCTGGTATCGTAGCATTTGGTTCATATGCACTTATGTTCCTGTCTGGCTCCTGGATGAAATTTTGTCCGGTGTTGCCTAAAAATAGAAATGCAGATGACAAGATTTTACACTGCTGCTGGTGATATGCATGATGGGCTGTCAACGGGCTGCCTTAACAACATGGAGCATCCTAAATCCCCTCTCAGCTGTACTAGTCTGATATGAGGAGGGGGGCTGACGGCTGAGGTGACTCCGGTTACATAATCTTCAGAGAGGAGCAAACCAGTAACATGAGTGGAGGACACTAGGGAGTTGTGCAGTGCCACCTGGGATGTGTAGTATCCTCCAAGGCATGCTGGGAGGTCACTGTGGTGTGAGCGTGGATGCAGTGTTACCAAGGCGGAGGATGCTGGCGTGCTCGTCCTTACATGGATGACAATGGACAGGTGCACAAAGAGGCTCGTAACGATCAATCTTACACAGTATGGAGAAGTTAACAGGGCATGTGGCTGTGGACGCGTTAAGATCACATGCTGGGACAGGTGATGATGAGCTGCTGCCAGCCACTGACACAGCTTAAATTACCAGCAGACCTCAGCCACCAGTGCACTAACACAGCTCCATGGTAGTTGTTAATGTACATTCAAAAGAACCTGAGCCCTTAAACTTTTCATAGGAGGATTCATGTGACTGGGATAAGAAACATTCACTGATAAAACAGTGCTTGCATTAATAAGGGTTTTACCACTTCAATAAACTGTTTCTTTAACCCAGAAGAGGCTGCAGAAGCTGCCCGAGAATCCTCCTGTTTTTAAAGACCTCTTGGCCCTGGGATTGTGCCTGGTAGCTCTGTCAGTAATCCATCCACCCATTCCATCCATGATTTAAAACGTGCATCACTGTCTCCATAACATACAGTGAAGCTACACAGACGTGCTGATCCAGAAACCGTGCTGGTTCTGGCCCAGGTTTTGGTTTTGGAGTGCTGTGTCAGCACACAGAGGATGAGCTGAAACCCAGTGAGCCAACTCTTTGTTCGCTGCTGTGTCTGGCGTTTTGTGTTGAAGGAAGAAGCCGGCCTGAATGGGCTGATGGCGGCTCAGGTAAGAGCTAGAACCCTCTGGTGGAAAATGAAATTTGAGGAGACAGCCAGTCTATTAGATTAGTCGTGCCTGTATGTCTGCATCAAAGAGAGAGAGAGACACAGTGCATGTGGGAGGGTGTGACTGGGTGTTTGCAGCTTGTGCCAGCAGTGCGCCCGTGTTATACATCAGCTTTCTGAGGTCAGGACTCGGCCGCATGTTCAAGCTCTGACCTCACTCGGATGCCCTTTAGATTCACATCACAAGTGTGAAAAGCTGCAAATGAAATGATGAGCCTGGTGGAGCCTGTCTGTTTCTCTTGTCAGCAATCACATGAAAAGACATGTCTCCCACTACCAGGCCTGTTCACTGACACCCTCGACTAAGAAACTGTAGAACAGTCCTTCCTTGTTTTAGGTATTAATTTTCAGATGCATGCAGGACTGCAGGTTCTGTGTATATTTCCAGCAGCTCAAGTTTCAGTGAGACCGGCCTGCCGGCACATTTCCACTCCAATAGCGAGACTGAGCAGAGCTCGACCCTGCAGCTCAGCACTGAACCAGAGGACGTTACACAACCAGTTTAGGTCTGCCGAGGCAGATGGGTACTACATCCATTTATTCACTGAGCTCTGTGCACACACGTCTCAGAGCTCGTTTTGAAACCCCTTTTCCAGAATCCATACTTAACATTTTATGTTCCTCTCCAGCTTTTACTCTTTGTTCCACCCCTGTGCTTCCACACCTTTGTGTTTGGTAGTTCATCTCCTCTGCCCTGTTTCCTTCTGTTTCTCTTTGTTTCTGTTTTCGCTCCCCTGGATCTCCCTCTGCATCCGCCCACACTAACCTAACATGCACTGTGCCCCAGGCCGCTTCGCTCTCTCTCCATATGTACAGAAACAACTCGTTTTCAGCACACACACATTTACTGTATGGTCTCCAGCCTCAGCGTGAGTCATACAAATAAAAATAAACATGTTATAAAAACAGCATGGGAATTAATGTCAGAAAAAATCTTCAGGATATGAAACCAGTTGAGACGGTAACTGTTGATGTTGTCTGTTAAAGGAGCAGTTCAGCATTTATGGCACATATATATGCTTGTCTGGTACTGAGTCAATTTGTGGTCAGTTTGTGCCTCTTTGTGTTTGTTTTGTGGTCTTTGCAGTCTTTTTACATCTCTTGGTGTAGAAGTGTCCTTGTAGAGACTCTGTGTCTGGTAAAAGAGCAGCCCAACATTTAGTGGACATATGCTTGCTTGCTGTTGAATTAGATGGCAAGATGGATATCAGGTTTATCCATCTTTATCCATTTCATATTTAGCTTAGCATAGCATAAAGACTGGAAGCAGAGAGAAGCTGCTAGCATCATTTAAAATCATTACTCCACTGGGCACTGCTGTGGGCAAGGAAAGTTGTTTTAGCTTGTGTGTTTTTACAGATATAAATACAAACTAAATAATGTCAGTGATGAGTCAAGCTGAGCTGTGGCTTCACCCAACAGCTCCTCTGTCCCTGCTACACCTGATTTCATGATCGTTGTGGAGACTGTAGTTTGTGCTGCCGTTGAACTGTGTCGCAGAGATCTGATCACATCTGACAGTTGGTTTTGGCTCAGCTCTGATATCATACTGTACATGAATTGTTACATCAGCTGTGCAGGTTATAGTGTGTCTCTGTGCAGTGGTACAGTGCTGCACAAGGACTTTGAGTTGTTGTGTAGTTCACCTGAGTGCATTCGTGTATCTGTTGGAGCTGTTTCAGATGCTGCTAAGAGTCATATTCTTAGCTCAGTAAGAATAGTTCCTCTCTGACTCAGACTGTTCACTGCAGCCCACAGAGTACGTGGACAGAATATAGAGTCCATACTGCAGCACTGATCAGCCTGCTGCTGTGCAAAAATGAAGCCAAAATATTGCCAGTATGGTGGCGGCCATCTTGCTTTTATGATGCATTTTCAAACAGGTTCCGTGCAGTAGTGGCCAAACAGTATTGTGGAGCAGTCTCTGTGTTCTGACGCCCTGAGCTGCCATGCCAGACTGTTTTAGACCAGTCACGTCTACACGTGCTGCTGCTGCCAACGTTCGCTTCTCTTGTCCCTGCATCCTCCTCAAGTGCTGCTGCCGGGAAGTAGAAACATGGGGAATAAAGTTCAGTCAGTGCTCTGAAGATTCCTCTGATCATCATATTCATATTGGACACTAGATTCTCTACAGTGGGCGCGAACCAGCTGTAGTTAAATGTGAATGCTGAAACTTCACATTCACTCTTTTAACAGAACAGACCTTCTTTGTGCAAAATCAGATTAATGTAATTAGTCTTTACAATTAAACAAATGTGTTTCTCTAACCAGCATCTAAACCGATCAGGTGGGACTCAGATGTTTCCCATCATGCATTGAGGTCTAGCTGTCGGCATCTGGCTCCAAACCCTGCAGACTCTCATGAGTTGGGATCAGGTCAGACAGGATGCTAATCATCTGGTGATCCTGGTTCACCTCAGACATTGATCCTCACTGCAACAACATTACACTTAATTCAAACATTCACTTCACTCAATATTAAACAAAAAGCAGAGTCATCCTTTTCAAAATTTATTGAAACTATGATGAAATCAGAATGGATGGACATACAGTAAACATCGACTAACCTTGCATAGGTTACAGACTATGCCTCACCAAGAAATGACAAACTGCAGCAAATACAAAAAAATGACACAACGTGAACAGCTCCATAATCATGTGTTCCTAATTATGTCTCCTGCAGTGGCTGTAAGTCAGGACGAGAGCGGAGCGACGAGTGTCAAACTGGGCCTCGTTGGAGCCAAAACAACCAGCTGAACATAAATAATAAGGATCTTCTGTAAAGATAAACAATGCAGTATTATTATTGTTGTTTGTATGAGGAAAATATATTACCGGCATTCGTGTACTTTAACGTTATGATCATGCAGTTCAGTCTCCAGTCGCTCATGCACTTTCTCAGCAAAAGTTCAGCATTAATCACCAGAACATTTTTAGGACTTCCTTTTTCAGACCTACAGCTCCTCAGTGCATCCTCCTCATCATCATCATCACTTCTTCAATCACAGACTTAACTAATGCAGAGTTTCTCAACCTGTTCACTTTTAGCTCAGGTTTATCTTGATACTTTACAAATACTTACATTTCCACTTAATCTTTTTTCTTAAAACTTGTTTGGTATTTTTAAAAAGCAGCTTCAAGAAATCAGACTCTAAAGGTCAGAAGATTAACTGAACATTTGTTTTCTGATTTAGTATATGTTTTTATGTCATTTGATCTTAGTTTAAAGCCCTTCATATAAGTTATATATAAAAATAATTTGTAACTTTGTAATCAAAAGCATGATGAATACACTAATCAGTTATGAATATATTTATTAATATTCCAAATCTGGGACCCCACATCTGAATTAATAAGGCTGACGGTTGTTTGTTGACCCTGGGAATTGTAGTTAAGAAAATGTTATACTAGCTATTACAGAGGATTTAATCATTTTGCACAGCTTTCATCAGTGAACGGAGTTTGCTCCCACCACTGAAAGTTCCAGATGAAGCTAGTAAGTGAACTTTGAGTTAACATTTTAATTCCTAAACTACAATTTCTGCAGTCAAGAATGAATTTTTAACTTCAGTTTTTCTATTTTAAGTCCTAAATCAAGTGGTTCTGTCTAAAGCTGGTTAGTAATTTTCTTTCTTTCTTTTTTAAGTTTGGTTTTCATTTCATTTTGGAGCTTAAAGGGCTTTAAAAACCACCTCATGTTTGGAGCATGCAGTGCGCATTGCTCCTTTTTTCTATAAATTCTTATCTTTCAAAATACACAAATAATGCCTGTCACAAATTTCTCAAGAGTCTTATTAATGTCTTGAAGTTGCTTATTTTTCACACAAAATCAGAATGTTTTGATTTATTAAAAGAAAATTGATTGGTTAAATTTGGGGTGTATTTACCTAATTAGTGCCTTTATTGATGGCAGATTTTCAAAATGAAGAAGGATTAATTTTCTCTTGATCAACAAATCAATAGACTAATTGCTTGTTTTGTAACATGAACTTTAGGACATGGAGGCAGCTCCAGATTGATTATATAGAAAACACTGAAAACATTGGTGGATTTAAAAGCAGCACTAATCAGTAGGTTTTGTTAACAACTGATGGAGTGAAAAGGGTTGTGTTACTGATCGACCTACAGAAAGAGATCGCTATACTCAACGTTCAAAGCCTTTTTACCCCATAAATTTGAATTAATCAATCAATACAACTTTCTTTAAATAAGAGTTATCAATGAACTGAAAATCTCCTCTCCAGGTTGATAAACTCTGCATTGATGGCAAATGTAAGGAGCCAAAGAATATTTATAATTAAAACAAGTTTTTTCTTATGAAAACAGTGAGATTTCACAGATGTTGTCAATTTGCAGCTCAGTATTGATTAATTATGCGATCTGATTTGAAGCGATCTCATTAAACAGGCAGCTGGACGCTTGTAAACTAAGTCCTATTTACTGTCGTTGTAAAAACTGGATTTTATTTTGGAAGGAGAAGTGATTCTCCCAAAAATGCCCAAAGATACAAATAATAACAAACTGTAAAAGTTTTCAAAACTTCTGATCCTCAGTCTGGCGAACATGTTGGTATATTCTCCGTCTGTTCTGATGATATGAAACGTCTAGACAACTTCGTTTGGTCCCGTCAGTTTGGAAAGTCTCGAACTTGGGCCTGAACGTTCAAACAGAAATTAAAACTCGACAACTACCAACAGCTATGATGTTGCCTTTAGTCACGCATTTCAAACTGCTGTCAAGAAAATATAAAACTGCTTTTAAATGACACTGTAGCAAAAGTTGTGAGGTTTGTAATTTTGTTCCACAGGACCGACTGCATGTTTAACACATAGCACCGTTTATAGCTTTTATTCATGTTTTCTTCAGACTGAAATGTTAAAGGGTTTTCTCAAGTTTGAGAAACAGGCTTTGACCAACCAGAGTGCTGACACACGGCTGCTGCACACGTGCACTGTGAACTCCTCAGAGAACAGACAGCGGCGAGCTGAAGGCAGATGGTAGTGAAACTACACATGCAGCTTAGTTTGTTCTGGAGCTTAAAGATGGAACTACAAAGTCCAGAGGGTCTCCAATGATGATACGTGTGTGTGCACACTCACGCTCACAAGATGTTCACACTAGAGGTCTTCATAGGTCCAGTAATTTAGGCCCAACCCAATACAGACCACGGTAAACAGACCTGAACCCGGCGTGCATAAATTAGAGACCCCAACAATTAGACACAAAGGTCACACTGATGGCTAATTAGATCAAGTAACAAACAGGAGCAATGGAAAAGTGCAGCAATGTAATGTAATATGAAATCATATAATAGAAACACAAAGTTCCGTTTCCAGCTCCTGCAACAATAAAACATGCTGTAACTTGCCAGACAATAAAAAGGCAAAATGTGTTTTTATCCGTTTAATAAAAACTACTAATTAAATGGATAACTTGGAAACAGGATTTCTGGGAATAAAAGGCTTGACTTAAGTTGCATCCTTGTCTGACTTGCATTATTTTGTTATTTAAGAATAAAATCTCTGAATGATCTCCTCACTTATGGCATGAGTTCATGTGATGACTAATTTGTTGTGATATAAAAAAAACTGAAACATAATTTGCACTTTACTGCGGTGACTTTTTTTGTCACTTTTGTCATCAGTCTGCACAAAACCGGACCAAACAACAGATGTGCCGGTTGGTTGAACCTCCTTGTTCTCACTAGCTCTTAATTTGCTCCTCACTTCATCAAAGAACTCCTCCATCCTCTGTCCCCTGTCACCTCCTTTAACCTATGTTTCTTGCATAAAAGATTTTGCTGCACAAACAAGAAATGTATCATTATCTGGAGAGTTTGTGTGAACAAGGTTGTAATTTGTGTTCAGGCTAATTTATTGTGTGCACAAATTATAATCTTCCACATAAAAGAGATCATCCTGCTAACAAAGGAGAGGTGATCAGAATCTGGTAGAAAAATGTCACTGGTGCCACAAGATAAAAACGATGTAAAACAACTAACGCCCTGCACACCAATTGTAATTTTGTGTGTACAAACGTGTAAGATGTGTGTTGCACACACACTCAAATGATCATGTTAACTAAAAAGTAATATCCCACAAGGTTATCATTTGTTTCCAAGATCATTTATCGAGTGTGCACAGTCACCTGCTGCCCTTACAATAAGTTATAGTTCAGTTCTTTATCTGCAGCGATTATGTTCCCAAACAATGCTGTTGTTTGCCCAAGATATGGAACAAAATCGATTTTGTGCACAACGTATGTAGCGCACGCAAAAGAATATGTAACCTTTCAGCACTAAACTAGATCCTGATTGGAGGCTTAATGATAATACATTCCCTGTTTATATTAGGGTGTTCAATCATAGCAACATCTTGTCAAACAATAATAAAAAATCAGAACGATAATAAATTAAAACTCCATTTGGGATCTCTGGGGTTCTGTTGGAGAGCTACGACAGGCAGATGCTATCAATAACTCTTGATTGATTAGATGTGTTCTTTGGGTGAGGTTGGGCCCAAACTCAGTGTAACAAAGGCATCTTTTTCTTTTTACCGCCGACAGTGAGACTTGTCACAGCAGGAAATTCTCACTCAGTTATGGCTCAGTTACATCGAGTGTCCCAGTGAAGGTGCACTCCTCCAAATTCACTTCCATTCTTTGCACAGGAACGTGAGACACAAGTCACCTATAATCCCAGTGTTTGAAGGGCAACTGCAACTGCAGGTGCAGGAGAGATGCTGCCTGGCTGTAGTGGCTGTGACAGAGGCTGCTCATTACCTGTTAGCCACGTTGGCTCCAGCAGGTCTGCAACCATTTGCATGCTGTTTCTTGTCGCCTCCTGCCTTTGGCCACATTATGTGAATGTATGTCACAAAGCAGATTTTGGTCTGACTGCACTACAAGGCATGGCCCTGTAAGTAGTTCACTTACTGTAAAATAGTGACAGAGTAGTGCCACAGCCACACAGGCCTGAGAGGGGGTCACCCAGAATAAGTGGGAACACCTTGTAGGTAGATGTGGAGGGTTTTCAGGTCCTTATAAGAGAAGATACAGGGATCAGCTCCAAAGTTGCAACAAGTAGTTTTGAGTGTAAACTGATGCAACAGTACTGCGATGCAACGTCACATAGCTGCTATAATGCAAATCATCCATCCATCCATCCATCCATCCATCCATTTTCTTCCGCTTATCCGGGACCGGGTCGCAAATGCAAATCAAAGAATTAAAAAACAAAGCATCAATATTAGGAACCAACCCCTCAAATGTCGCTGTGTTGAGAGTGATCTGACCAGGGAAACAAAAGGTTTGGCCTGAATTGGAGACTCTGTTCGGATCTCTTTCTGCGAAGGCAGAAATGATCATGACAGGTGATATTTTCTAGTTTTAAATATTCCACTAACCAGTGGTTTGGAAAACACTGATCCAACAATGTAAAAATGCAGAAATTCCAGCCAAGCACTGATTCAGTTTATGATACAATAATCTGAGAACTTAACACTTTAGCGTGAGACTGATTGTTTCAGGTGTCAACAGTGAGATGGGGAGAAATTTGGATTTGTGGGGTCCATAAAAACATGTAGCACAGAGGATTAACACTTTAGTGCAAAGAGTTTTGAGTGCATAATATAATCTTACATTTAAGACGATACAAATCTTTATACATGAAGAACCAAACATTTGGGCCCCACCTTCTGGCCAGATCAGAGTGAGTCAGTACTTTTGGATGCTTCACTGTCATTAATCACCCCTCATGTAATCTTTCTCACTTTGTCCAGATTTCAAAAGCAGGTTTTGTCCATGTTTTTTAGAGGGAGCAGATGTAACTGTCAGCAGAGGTTTCAGTCCTGGGTATCAAAAGGCAGCAGTGTTTTGTGCAGCCACAGGGTGATGTACATGTCCGTTTACAGGCTCCTCCTGCGTTCTAACTTAGCATGAAACAAGTATGGCAATGTCAAACTCAGATACCAGCATGTATAACAAAACCTGTTAGTTCCTATCTTATTTGAACTTAGCTGTCATGCTAATTGTGCACTGCAGCCGTGTGCCATCACCCAACAACTGACTGAGAGTTTACGTAGGCCCAGTAAATCTGGCCTGAGGATAAGGAATATATTCATAGCTTTTTCTAAGCATCTTAATCTATAACCCTTTTCTTTTCCAGATGTGCAGGGGGTAGTGCATCTTTATGGCAGGAGAAGATAAGCTGCACATAGTAAGGGAGGCACTTTCATCAATTCTATCATAAGACGGGGTTCAAGGCACTAGAAACTAATTTTAGATATATCTGTGAAATTTGTTAAATGTTACTGCTTTCCTTCTAGAAACGGTTTGAAATTCAAAACAGAAGGGTCACAAATGACATAAAATGATCCCATGCACTCCGTCATCAAAGATCAAGGCTTTAAATAAATTAAAAAGGACAGTGTCATTTCTGAAATGTCTTTTTTTTTTTTAAAGATATCATCAGATATGTCTCTTCAGATTTTTTTTTTAGCTGTTTTGTTCCTTTGAGCAGTAGCTCCAGTGTGCATCCCGTCGTTACCTTTATAAAAATTAAGAGCATCATCACCACCCTCAAGCTCTCAAGGTCCCTCCACAACTGCAAGCAATTTAATACTGGCGTCATGCATTGAATATAGGTAGCTATACCTTAGCTAATTAGGCCATAATGCTTTAGTATTTTGACATGCTGTGATCTTTGAAAGATCGTTGAAAAAGAGGTGTTCTTGTTCCCTTAATGCTTTAACATTCAACACATAAATTCTTTGAAACAATAATAATAGCCTGTGCACTTTTGGTGAAAACATATGAGAGAAAAAGGTCCAGGAAGAAAAGATGAGGGTCAAAGAAAAAAGTGTAAAAAATAAAAATGAGGTAACACCTTGTGCATGCCGATATACTGTAAGAGAGAAGAGAGTCTCCACATGCTTTTATATAAAGGAGTGTTGCATGGCATCGTACAGGGAGCCTCCAGCCGAACTATAGCAGCAGCAACACAGAAAATCCTCCACATGGTTCGGCAGACTTCCTGTTTGTTTCAGATAAAGTGCCTGGAAAAACAACATCTGGCGTTAAGTTTCCCAAAACTTCCCTGGATGTGTCACAGAAAAGCACGCCTGAGTTTCAGCTGTAATCCACTGAGAATGACTTTCTTCAGGGAGTGAGTCGTCCTCAGTGGTGTCCTTCAAATCGTAGCTGTTTTATTAGTTTTTCTTATCCTGGACGTTGAGTCTATTGTAGAAAGCCTGGCAGGTGTCTGGGATTTTTTAATACATATGTGTCATATTAGTAAGTTAGTTGCCTTCAAATTGCAAATTAGTTTTTCCTTTAGTCGTTCCTCAGATTTCTGAATTCAACTCTTATTCTTTTGAACTAAAGTTTAAAATTGCAATTTTTACTCCATTTAATTCAGTTTTATCTTATATTTGATTTTGCCTTAATACTTTCTTATCTATGATTTAATTCCTTATTTTGCTTCTATATTTCTGTTTTGTGCATCTTTCTATATTCATGAAAAGCTGCAGTAAAAGGAGGTTGAGACTTCTGTAGTGGCCGATCCAAGTTTTTACAGCAAAACAAGCTGTAATCCCATAAAATACATTGAAAATTGTGTTTCGAACACCCTAACCAAAAAGTAAATCCATGTATTCCAGTCTAAAATTAGTCAAGTGTTTTAAATCAAAGCAGAATAAAGATACTAACCCTGTTAAAGGGAATTTTTTTCAATTTAGTGTTTCATATCAAAAAATGATTAGAGACTTGTTTTAAGAATGATTAAAATCAGTGGAAAGACTAAAATACCCTGATATTTTTGTCTCTAATTTGAGACAAGCTGGAGGAAAAACACTACATTTCCCAAAATGCAAGTTAATAACGTGTCTTTCCAACCTTCCCATGTCTTTAAGACCCTCTGTCCTGAGGTCCTACCATGGGACTTCGGTTAACAATGTGTCATCTCAAAGCTCAAATTTAGATAATCAGGATTATTTTGTTAGACATAATAGATCCTTGTGCGCTCTCAGTCTCACGTGACAATGATTCTGCCGTGTTTGCCTTAACGGGGAGATACATTGCAACAAACCAAGCGCTCCCTTTTC